ATAATATATATATTATTTGTGTTGCAGTCAGGATGCCACAGTAAATGGTCCTCAAAAGAAGTTACATGTTGTCCACGGAAATTCCATACAGCCACAGTGCGATTTCTAAAGGTCAAGAACAATTGGTTCTCGTATAGAAATATGAACGCAGATGGTGTCATAAATTCACTTCTGCTAACTTCTTTTAGCTCAAAAGTCCGCACCTGGAGATGATTGAAATTCAGATATCCAGATGAGAACTAATGTATACAACTCATGTAGAAGTAGAAGGATACTTACATCCAGAATTTGGAGGAGGTTCTCATTTCTTGCTTGACAAGAAGCTTTTCATTAAACTGTTCAATGAAATCCACTTTCTTATTCCGATGAAGGAGATGGTTGAACGATTTCAAAACAGAACCATCTTCAATTGAAAGGATTTTAAGTGGGACATGGCTACTTGCTTTAGCAAAAATCAGTAACATGATCCCCGGACTGATCAAGAAAAATAATCAAACAAGAGCAAAGCGAAAATCAAGTAAGACTGGGGAGAGAGGGAGGTGTCAATGTTATCCTGAACTAAGAGGATGTGATACATTTTTCATAAATTTGAGCATGGCCATAGACCAGCCCCTATGATATGCGGGTGAAGTGTACAGGTGCAACTAAAATTCACATGCATGCAATGAGAATTACCTGATCTTAATCTCTTGGACATTTTTATCGGAAATGGAATACAACATTGTATAGTTTTTGAGGTCAAACACCTTGTATATGCTGCAGAGGGAAAACACAGACAAATACAAGTATCCCAATCAATAACCCTTGTTATAAAAGAAAATCATATCATTGAACTGAAAAACCAATGCCATATAAATATAGTATTACCTATCCTGAGCAGAATAAGTCAGTACTTTCCCATTTACATCGTCAAACTCAACAAAGCCTGGCCACTTCAAAGACTCAGATTCGAAAAGCGCAAAGCCAGCATCTGGTTTTCCCCTCCTAATGTATCTGGACAACACAAATATATCAGCACAACTCGCAAGCAAACAAACAAGAAATTGTTAGTTTCCACTTTTAATTTAGTTTCCAAGTGCACTACGTCCATCTTGAGTTATTTTGCATTATAGTTTTTCTTCGTATTTGTCCGGGAAGGGGGAGAAACGGGAATTGAAAAAGACCAGAGCTTTATACATACTCAATCCTTGTGCTTCTACATTTCAAAGAACTGTAACTGTCTGAAGCGTAGACAGAAACCGTGATAAGCGAGTCATTGTTTTTATTATAAAACAGACTTCGGATAACTTCATCAGGACTCACATTCAAGAAGCATATCCTTTGATTGGTCTCTGCATCCAACAAATAATATATTTAATATGTATCTCCACTTTTAGACATATATCGAACAGAACAGCACCTTCAGATATTACAAAACACATAAATACAATTATTACCTCGACTAAATGCTGCACAAACACCAGATTGTGCAAGAGCAAAAACAATGTCTCGTGCTGCAACAATCTCAATAATTTTTGACCTTTTTCTCAAAAAAGGGAGTGCCAATGAAGAAGGACCTTTTGGATCGTGCGTATCATATTCTTCCTATATAGAATCCATCAATCTATCACAAATTGGTAAAAAAGATAGGTATATATACGCATATTAAAGTATACATCTGACATCTCACCAGAGACACTAGGGTATTATTCACATCCAAAGAAACAGAATGAACCGTGTCTCATTATACGGCTCGGAAAAAGTGAGTTTGAAATATTATACCGCACAAAAATGCAGAAAAGTATCCTATAAAGATCACGCTCATGCAATAATAAAGGAAATCAAATTTTCACAACCCATCTTGCCTTGTCTCCTCACAATGAGAACGTAATCAAAACTTCAAACAAATTCACATTTAAGAAATCACAGTTTCGGCTGGACTGCTTATTTGGTTCCAGAGTCCCATTCATAACAAGCCTCTTTTTATGCTAAAGTAAGCAATCACAAGCATGAGGCTGCTAGTTAATCTTTAAGATCCACAAACACTAATATGATTAAGGGATACACCAAAGGAATTCTTAATTCGAGGAAGCAACTTCAGGCCAGTATCCAAGTTTCTCCAACAGGAACCTAGTACACGTTTAGCATGAATAGACACGGTAGTGAGACACCATTGGAGAGAAAAATGACACGAGGCTCTTGAATAACTTGGACGACTTTTACACAACTTATAAATAAGTAACTAACGAGAAGATGAGGCTATGAGGCCAAGGCATTTTTGATTGAGCCTAACGCTAAACGTCAATTTGACGTGCTTCCTAAATTTCAAGTCCTGCTCGACCAGCAATTTTCTATATTACAGCAGCTAGAAAAGATTTGTGCAGAAGCAGTAAATAGTAAAAAACGAAAGGAGCTCAAGCACTTGAGCTTTTAAGGGAATTCCTAGCGGGGAAGCATAAAAGAAATAAGGCAATCAAAACTCCCCAAGACAAATGCTGCAACAATTCAAGACTAAAAAATTAACGGGGAAAATTAATGAATCGAGATGGAGAATGGGGCAGAAAAACTAGTGAGCTAAGAGCAAGATGCTTAATAGCAAAGAAGAAAGTTAGGAATGGAACCTGCAAGCGAATATTGCGAAATCTTTCCTGAGCATCGCTCATACTGAACGCGCGATCGCGCTTTGAGCTGATTTCACGCCTTTGAAGCTTCTTAACGCTGTTGACAAACCCGTCAACTCCCCCACCTCGATGTGGCCTCTTTTTCGCGACTATCCTCCGACCACAGCAAGGTCGAGGACTCGCCGTAATCCTCCTCCCACCTTCCATGTAAGCCTCTCTCAAAACAACCGGCCGCAAACTTGAATACCAAATTCACACATCACCGGGAATTCGACTAATACATTGATCTCGGGAAGTGGAACTTTGGAAGCTGAATCTGCTACGCAACTAGTCCCGATTGTTAAAAGCCCTAATTCCTTCGTTCCCGAAAGCCGAAATTCAAAGTATCAGCCTTTTACTCAGAAGCAAGAGAAACCATAGCCATCTGTATCTCTATTTCACTCCCCCCCCCCCCCCCCCGCCAGTGAAAGGACGGTCGCAAACTCGCAATAGAGAAGGTTTCAATGGGGCGCCTTCGCGGTTCGAGCTGGATCCCGCCTCAAAATCTGTCTCGAAATCGGTACACTCGTAAATTGCAAATCGCAAAATGTCTTTGAAAAAAATTCCATAACGCCTTTCAGTATTTACTCAGTTAATACCTTCAATCCAATCCGTTAAGAAAATAAATTAAATTAATTATTTATAATAAAAAAAATTTTTAAAATACTATTGCCAATCAAATGTATTAGTTAGAATTACTATTATTAAAAGAACTATTTTGAAAAATATATAAATATGAAAGACAACATAGATTAAAGTTCTATATTGAAGATAAAAATAAAAATTAAATGAAATTTTATATTAAGGATAACTAAAATAACAAATCGGCTAATCTTTCAAGTTATATATTTATTTGATGGCAAAAAATTTAAATACTCCTTGCAATAATCATATTTACTTTATTTATTAATCACAACCAAAGGGTCACAAAATTTGAAGTTGGTCAAGCCTATAATTTATGCATAACGAAATTTAACATAAATTTGATAATATAATATAATATTAATTATGCGCAACATTCTTAATACTTTGTTATGTGTGTATATGTTTAACATATTCCCATCCTTAATATAAAACTTGATTAACTAATTTGAAGATGTTAAAAAAATTAGTTAAATTAATTATTGTAATAAATAAGTGTTATCTTTTCAAAAATACTCATATCATGTGTATTAGTTAAAACTACTATTTAATAGAATTTTTAATATGTGCAATTACTACAAAAAAACTACTTTAAAAAATAAATACACACGAGAGACAAAGTAGATTGAGATCTTATATTTATAATCAAATTAAATCAAATAAGCTCTTATACTACCTCTGATCTTTAATATAAGAGTTAGCTTGACTTTCAATTTGATCTTAAATAGAAGATCTTAATCCCCTTTATCTCTTATATTTATTCATTTTTTCAGAGTAATCCTCATAGTAGTTGCACATATTAAGTATTTTATCAACTAGTGATTTTAGCTGACATTCATGATTACTAAGAGTATCTTAAAAAATATAATCCATATTTATTACAGATAACTAATTTAATAAAACTTGTTATATTAGGTATCAGAGGTGGTATTAAGGATGGAGGCAGTACTTCTCACAGTGGCCTGTCTACTTAAAGGATCTGTTTTTTATATTCATGGATCTGGTTTTTTATGACTGGTCAAAAAGGATGCTGTTTGATACCATGCGCTCATTTAAATTGGGCTGGATCTTATGCCCAAAATAATAGGGCTCGATTCGGTCTGGCTTGTCCTAAATTTTAACTCGGTAAAAATTAAAATCTAGCAGGCCCCCTCTTTGACCGGTTCGACTGGACTGTCCGGTCCAGGTCTTCAAACATCAACGTGCAGTTTTAGTTTAGAATAATAATAGTATTTCGACTGGAATTACTTCAGTAAGCCTAGTGAAAAAAAAATATTTGTGACGAGGGAGGAGATGTACGCGTTCATTTTGAGTTAGCTGGGTTGGGCTTGTCATTCCCTTATTTTTGCTTATCAGGAAGCACCACTCATGCACATGCGCATTTAGTGATCACAATAGCACAACTCACGCACACATACAAATGGATATATAGATATATTGGATAGACAGGACAATGCAAATTCAGGCAGCTGCCGGTAACTGCATGAGAGGTCAGGTCTTGTGAATGAGGAGATGCACGCCATGTCCTGGCTCTATAATCATTCGGTAAGCCGGAGAGTGCTTATAAGTAGGGGAAAGAGAGAATCTGAAACGGGAGAGCATAAGTGCAAGCACGACCTTCAACTGGACGAGAGCGAAATTCTTGCCCAAGCACAAGCGGTTACCCACTCCAAAGGGCACGTACGCTTGTGGGAACTTGCAAGCCTTGGACACGCCGTCGCTGAACCTTTCTGGCTTGAACTCATTAGCATCTGCTCCCCATATGTCTGGGTCTCTATGCAACCTTGGGATCAGAGTCCACACACAAACCCCTTTCGGAACCAACAGGTTTCCTATCTTAATGTCCTCATATGCCTCCCTCGACACAAAAGCTGCCGGCGGATACAAGCGCAGGGCTTCTTGAATCACCATTGTCATCTATATATGCATATACAAAAAATAAACTTAACTTACTTTAAGCTGATGAAAATATATATTATGAAAAAGTATGGGGTTGTGGGCACACACACGCGCACCTTCTTGAGGCTGGGGAGAGAATCTGCAGTTGGGATGCCACTGGGGCAGAATTGAGCGAGCTCCTGTGCAATGGCAGTTTGCCATTGAGGGTGTAAAGCGAGAAGCATCAAGGTCCAAGAGGCGGCGACGGCGGTGGTTTCATGGCCGGCGAAGTAAATGTTCTTGCAGTTGTCCACTATGAATTTCTTGGACATGTCCTCACCCACACTTTCATCACTCTCGGCTGCTTCTAGAAGTAACTGCATCAGATCCTTCTCCGACGATCCTTGTCGCTTGCGTTTCTCCACTAACTCCCAAATCAGCGACTCTACCTCTCTTTCCAGTTTGCCCATCTCGTCTTCCTTCCTTCTCCACAAATTAAGCATGCCCCTGCCATCACCAATGATGATTTATTTTATATCATAAACAACAGAAATATTTGATTTGTTTGGCCCAAGTATGTGGTGAGGAGCATAATTGTGTATAAACAAAGGCAGCAAGGGGAGAAGAAGATGGGCTGACCGAAAGCCAGAGAGGCCGAAAAGGAAGCCACCCTGCTTGGACATGGTCTTCTGCATGGTTCTGAGCTTAGAGAAAACCTCTTTTCCCCTGGAATAGGAATGGCCGAAACAAACCCTTGAGATGACATCAGCAGAGAAGCCCCTCAAATCTGCTCCCACTTCGACCTCTGCTGATGATAATCCAGCCTCGTCAATTGACTGCTCCCATTTTGATAGCATAGGCTGAGCTGATTCGATCATAAGCCCCACCATACCCTGCCCCATATAATGCCATCCACATCACATCACCCAAATCACATGCATGCATGCATAGCGTGGGTCCCCTTCCACAGCTCTCTGTTTATGAAATGCTATTAAAGGCGGAAAAACTCGCAGAGCGGATATGGGAAATTTTTAGTACTTCGGGCCTTCTGTCTATCCAATTCCAACCCATCACGAATTCCTTGGTGTCATTAAGTTGTGAAAGACCTTTCTTAATTCTTACTAGAATAATAACGTTATTCACAATCACTCGCACACTGTGCATGGGCCCACCGATTCGGCTAGTGGACTTTTCTTTTATGTCTTCCATTGGACTTGTTAATTATGCGCATATAGAAGCGTATAAAATTGTCGCCCGCCCCTCGTATAACATATAACATGCTTGTTTATCTCTCACCCATATTTGACAAACACATGCAAGTCAACCACAACAGTTTTTCAGACATGCTTCTATTCAACATTTTAAATAAAATATATCTACGTAGGTAATACAGGAACTAGAATATCTCTCAATCCAGAATTCCAGGAGAACGTAACGATGTAAAATACGGGGGCTCGGTAAACAAGTCCCGTACACACCCATAACACAATGGAATAATTCTATTCAGTACGTGCATAAAATATAAAATGAGCGATGCTTTTCACAAATTAAATAAGAAATAATATATGATAAAAAAGAAAACCCTAATGAGTTTATTACAGGAATCCCTCTTGGATAAAAATGAAAAGTGATAACAGTCACGTGTGTGTGTGTGTGTGTGAAAAAGACTAGAATTTGAATATAGTGCGTCAGAATTATTTCTTTAGAGAGAGAGAGAGAGAGTGTGTGTGTGTTGTGTGTGTGTGTGTGTGTTATTAGCCCCACCTGTCATCAACACACTGATTATTAAAAAAAACACTAACATTATTAACAGAGGCGACTTTGCCCGGAGAAAAAGATGGGTGATTACCAATTTCCTGTCAATTTCCTCGCTTACGATATACTGTATAAAATCTAATCTAATCAATGAACACGATAGAAGTGAAGACAAAGCCACAAAGGTGGGTGGGTGACGGGGAGGGATATTATATGATATTAGTACCAGATACAATGATGATTAAGGATAATCAATGACGCACCTTAACTTTGTTCATGAAGAACTCGGCCGAAACAAGCTTCCTTTGGTGCGCCCAACTAAGCCCATTTGCCCTTAAAATGCCATTTCCAAGCAAGGGAGCGAGCCTGTTGGTTACATCAGAGGGCTTTCCAAAGTCCAGAGTGAGACACTGGTTCATCTCTCGCACCAGCTCTGGTTCGTTCACAAAAAGATGCTGCTTCGTCCCCGTGGAATACGTGTACACTGGACCTGCAAGTCAGGTTGCACGTGCCCCATGTTACAGTAAATATATCTCTTAATCATAAACTTGATGTAAAATTTCATATGGAGAATCTGATTAATAGTGACAGGGACGTGACGTTGATCCATTTATTTGATGGGCCCAGACTGAAATGATCCGTAATGGTCTAGGCGCTAGCTTGCTCCATTAATATGCGTAAGCTAATTGAAAGGTGATGCCGCTTGTGAGGCTATGTATCTACCAAAATTGCAACAACAGCTGTAAAGGTAATTATTCTTATACTATGTTATTGTCACTGTCCTACCTCACCAATAAAATACATGCAATATGTTGTCCTCCCTGACCCCAGTTCTTTTTTTTTTTTTTCTTTTGGGTTAACGACTAAAGTATATATATTCTGCTGCTGGTCAGAAGAAAAGTATATATATTCTACTCATAATTTTTCAAGATCGACGGGAATGAATCATATTATTTCATAACTTATAATATTTTATATTAACAATAAATCTGGATCTGACACTCGTATAGTCATATTATACGTTTTATTTGTAACAATGCGTTTTTGTCGCCTATATAATTAAAAGTTAAAAGAGAATTGAATTTTTTTTTTCAAAAAAAAATAGAGGCTTCCAATAATCAGCTGGTTTTTATGCTCTTGTAATAAAATATGAGCTGGTATGGAATCAGAGAGGATCGACCACTCCTAGAACCATGCTGGGAAGCTGGCAAGTGGTGGCGAGATAGAGTTGACTTTATCTTTGACTCAAAAGATCAATCAATCATCCATTTTATGCATAGAATTAAAATGGATTCCATTCGAGTTTAAACCAGAGGGCGAAAGGCATTTTAATAGACCTTGGAAGAATAAAACAGGTCGAATTCTGAATGCTTGATTCCCAGCCCCCGCCACTGCCAAGTCCCACCCGCGTATCTTTAATTATGGTCAACATCCTAGGCATGCTTTTCCGCTTTTCCATCCCAATTAATTTCACACCATCAAAACAGAACTAAACGCTTTCACTTTTCACAAAAACTGAGCTAAATGCCGAGAAAGACACTCCTATCATGCCTGAAAAGTTGACCCATACGGAATCGAAAATCGAAAAGTGGCACTTGAACTCAATCAAACACCGCACCCACTGCGCTAGCTTTTCCCCATGAATGTTCGATCGAGACTAAAAAATACAAACACAGCTAGACTCGCAGCCGGGCAGGCTCTCTGCTAAAGTCATAAAACAGTAATTTAAAAGCTGCCGGCTGATTGCAGAATACTGAAGTAGGAGGAGCGAATTGCTTATTGACGAAGCAAGATTAGAAGAGAAGAAGGGTATTTACCGTATTGCGCACGCCAGTGCTCGAAGTAAGGGAAGAGGTTGGAGGTGTAGTCGTGAGCGACGAATAGATGGGAATGGCGGGTGGAGAGAGAAGGAGAATTGGCCTGAGATTGGAGTTTCTGCATAAGAGGCAGATTCCCGTAGAGGAAGGAAGGAGGAGGACCTCTGATCCCCTGCATTCGCAGCTTCCTCCTCACCCTCTCCGATTCCCCCCACACCCTCCTGCACGCATACGCTATCCAGCTCAACATCCCCACCACGCCCGCCCACCAAGCCACCTGCATCACCATCCACATCGATCTCTTCGCCGCGCCCACCTCCTTCTTCTTGATAGTATCACAGACGCGTCGCTGTTAACTGATTGCAGAGGAGGAGAGAGGATGGCGAAGAGGGTAAGGGTGGTGGAAGATTCTTTAGTGCAAATGGACGGGAAAGGAAGACGTTGGAGGGATGTGAGCGCGTGTGCATAAACCCTGAACCCTGATGAGCAGTGACTTGTCTGGGAGCTCGCTGATGGATGCTCAGGCTTTCGCAGCTTGCTATTTAAAGAAGACAGGTCTTCCAATGCGGCCAATTACCGATTGCTCCCTCTGTCGTGCACCCCGGCATGGACCCAAACCCAATTACTTCATTTTTCCTTTTTTTTCTTTTTTTTTAACCCGTCTTTTTTTTATTTTAATAATCCACATAATGTAGTACGTTCGTTGGGGGACCAATTTCAATGTTGTTACTTTGATAAGCATTCTAAACTTATCAGATCTAAATCATCTATATTTGATTTAAATAGTTCACATTGAAAATCTTTAATTAATTATTTTTAGATAGAAAAAACTATTTTTTTAAAGAATAATAATTAAGAGACTACTTTTTATTTTAAATTCTATACGTATTAATAAATAAAAATACCAAAAAAAAATCAAATTTGAACCATAAGCAATTTGAACCATCTGTTAGTTGAGCCTCCCACTGAGTTTTTCATCCACCTAATTCTCAACCCCTCGACAATCGTTTTAATTTTTCTTTTTGGAATTTTTTATATTATTAAAACGATTCATTTTGATCATATTATAAAGTTAATTAATTTTATCAGAATTACCTAAGTATCCCCGGATTTGTTTTTTCAAATTGATTGACAGCAAAAACACCTAGTTACTTTTTTGCAAAGCGTGTGCAGAACACTTGGATCCACTGCAATATCAGAGAATGCCGTCTAAAGGGATATTTAAATGAAATCAAAATTATTATTTTAAAAATATTTTTACGTTATACGAAATAAATATATAAAAAAATTTATTTTGATTCGTAGATAAATACTTTTCAAAACACTTATAATACTTTCCAAACATCCCCTAGATTCTAAGAGCGGGGCATGCCATATCTGTATATTATAGGAGTATAGTAAGGGTCTCGTTTTCCGTGCACTGTGATGTTCACCGCCTATTTTGACAACGGAAAGTAAGAGATCCACATGCGTGTATTATGTAGACCCCCTTCTTTTCATATTTAAGTGCATGTCTGAACAAGATCCTTCACATGTGACCTGTCCTCCGTCACTTCCCATTTATCTCTTCTTTTTCTTCACACTTTTTAAGTTCTTTACCCTCTCCCACGGCTCTTTCTTCCCTTTTCAAGACTCGTAATGTTAATAATTTATATCCATTTGCAGCCTGCCACCTCACCTTTGACGGTCACGGATGTCCGTATACTCGTGTGTATTTACTTGCAACCTCTCAACTCACTTGCGACGATCATCATTAATTAACTAATATTCGTTATTCGTGTTTATTTATGATGTAACATTGCCACGTGTCTCTCTCGCGTGCACAAAAGCACGTACAGCCATGCGAGAAAATCACAAAACCATCGCTTTTTGTTTGCTTTGGCGGATTGGAAATTTGTGGAGTTACAAAGAGAAGGGGATAAGAACGTAATTAATGAAGTGGGCAAAATGATAGTACAGAGTTTAGGTGGGCATATTTCCTATCAGCCTCGGAGGTGTTTGGAGATCACGGGGACATGCATGCATGTTTGATGAACTATTCAGAAGACAGTACACTCCTGTTCTGCTGCTAATGCCATTTCTTGGCCCTAAGTGTTGATTACTTTGAAGAAAGCTGACCCCATATGTATCCCTCTCAGCGTGACTCGTGCATGCATCTCTATAGCCTTTTTGTCTTTTGCATTGAAAATTGCAGCAGCCTGTGTTCCCAAATTTTTAGGAGTCGTCCAAATTATAAAATCTGTCAATAAATCCCTCAGCTTGCTGGATCTATAAAGTTATTCAGGCAACCTAAATTGAACACGTATCTCCCTTTTCTTAGGCTAGGGTTCGGCAAGTCGCGCGTTTGATCCTATGCTATTACTTCCGATTTTTAATATAAAATCCCGTTTAATTTTTATTTTGATCATAAATATAAGACTTTAGTTTACTTTGTCTCTCATATTTATATTTTTTTTAAAGTAACCATTCTAATAATGATAGTTCTAGTCAGTACATTTAATTAGCAGGGATATTTTAGAAAAGATAATACCTATTTAAAACAAATAACTAATTCAACTTATTTCTTTAATCTCTTCAAATTAGTCAACTGGCTCTTATAATTAGGACCGGAGGTAGTACTAATTTATTCTACTTATGTACTCATCCTATTTTGGATATCCTTGCGAGTCGATTTCCGAAAATATATGTTTTTATTCTACACATACATTTTTTAAAATTAGCCGATATAAATAGCATTTGAAGAAAATACGTTTCGAATGCACTTGCTGCTTAATATAAATGAAAAATTAATTATCCTCGTGCTTCAATCTGTTTCAGTTGTTTTAGTTACAGGATTAAAAACGTTTAATAATATCGGCAAAAGCATAACATGCAAACCGTGCGTTGCTAGTTATTATACTACCTCGGGTCCTAAATATAAAAGTTAATTGATTAATTTGAGTATATTAAAAAAATAAGTTAAGTTAGTTATTTGTAATAAATATGTGTTGTCTTTCCTAAAATATCCTGCTAGTCAAGTTTATTAGTTAAAAGTTAAAACTCAAAAAGACTATATTGGGAAAAAAATGAATAAATATGGAAGACAAAGTGAATTATGATCTTATATTTATGATTGAAATAAAAGTCAAACAAGGTCTTATGTTAAGGACCGGAGGTAATATTATACTACTTTCGGTCATAATTATAAGAGTTAGTTGACTAATTTAAATAAATTAAGGAAAGAAGTTAAGTTAGTTATTTGTAATAAATAGGCGTTGCCTTTCTTAAAATATCCTTACTAATAAGGTGTATTGGCTAGAACTACTATTGTTAGAAGGACTATCTTGAAAAAATGCATAAGTATTAGAGATAAAATAGATCTAGAGTCTTATATTTAGAATCAAAATAAAAGTCAAATAATATCTTATATTAAGGATCGGAGGTAGTACCATATAAAATAACGCGGGGGTGAGTTTTTTGACTTATGTGTGTCACTTTCTGGTCCTTAATATAAGAGCTAATTGATTAATTTAAGAAGATTAATAAAATTACTTAAATTAGTTAGTTATAATAAATATGTGTTTTTTTAAATATATTTGCTAATCAAGTATACTAACTAGAACTATCATTATTATAAGGACTGTCTTAAAAATAAATAAATATAAAAAACAAAATGGATTGAAATCTTATATCTAAAATCAAAATAAAAATTAAACAAACTCTCATATTAAGGATCAAAAGTAATCATAGGACTGCCGTACGCTTTTGGCTACATAACACGATGAGTAAGCGTCTGTTTATATATAAATCATGATTTAAAAAAAAAATTTGAGGCACAGAATAAAACTGTGCAGAACGCCGATGGTACCCATTCATAAATCACAAGCAACAATTGCGTTAATGATCTAAAATATAAATATCCCTTTATGTCTTTAAATTCAAATCGTTAGTGAGGGGAAAAATAGTTATATTACCCCATGTTTTTAATATAAGAACTTATTTAATTTTTATTTTGATTCTAAATATAAGATCAATATACTTTTTTTTTTAAGATAGTCTTTACAATAATAATAACTCTAATCAATACATTTAATTAGCAAAAATATTTTAAGCAAGATATTATTTATTTATTATAAATAACTATTTTAACTAATTTTTTTAATCTATTTAAATTAGTCAATTAGTTATTATGTTAAGAAATGAAGGTAGTACCTTAACAACTTTAAATCACAGAGGAAGGGGTTCTAATTGCCTGTTAACATTTAGGAAAACTATTAAAGCCAGTGAACTGAAAACTTTCTTATCTTACATGTACGTAATTTGGAAATCTTAAAAAAATACCGTAAGTCACGCGGCTGGTAAACAGAGTTATTTATTGTAAATTTTATATTACTTCCGATTCTTAATATAAAAACTCGTTTGATTTTTATTTCAATTATAAATATAAAACTCTAATTTACTCTGTCTTTTATATTTATCTATCTTTTTCAATGCAGTCCTTGTAATAATAGTAATCAGTATATTTGACTAGCAAAAATATTTTAAAAAAAACAACACATATTTATTACAAATAACTAGCTTAACTAATTTCATTAATCCATTCAAATTAGTTAACTAACTCTTATATTAAGAATCAAATATGGTACTACCTCCGATTCTTAATATAAGACCTTATTTGATTTTTATTTTGATCCTAAATATAAGACCTCAATCCACTTTGTTTCTCATATTTATGCATTTTTTTCTAAAGTGATCTTTTCAACAATAATAGTCCTGGATAACAAACTTGATTAGCAAGGATATTCTAGGAAAAACAACACCTATTCATTACAAATAATTAACTTGGTTAAGTTCTTTAATCTCTCCAAACTAGTCAACTGTGTCTTATAACTAAGACCGGAAATAGTATTTAAATACTGACATTGAATTGGACAGCAGCATTTCTCATATTGTGTAAATAAGAAATATTGCTTATGATTAATAAACAGTCTAATATAGTTTTTTTATACAAGATATAAAATATGAAATTTACATTAAGCTCACTCTGCTTACTATTTATGGCGGCAGCTCTTTTTCTAGGCGTTTACACATGGCATGGAAAACGTGCCGTTATTTATGGGCCATGTTACATTATCAGAGCTTGATACTCCTCTTGTTCTATTTACACAGAAAGAGAATTTTTATTTTATTTTATTTATAAAGTATTGAAACTTTTTTATATGAATGTATAATTTTTTCTTTGTTTATTACTGTGTTGACCTTGTTTATATGATGTATAATATATATTAAATATGGATAAAGTTGAAAAGTTATTAAATTTTAAATAAAAATTAATAAAGTTTAAATTTTTTTTATCTATATGAAATATGTTGAAAATGATTTATAAATAGGATAAAAGGAGTATGATATGTTAATTATTAATGATATTTTTTCTGACCAGCAATTATTGGGGGATTGATGCTAATAATAAATATTCTGGCCATGAATATAGGTGTTGATATCTTTTCCTTTTTGACCTTGGATGTGGACACGCGATATAGACATCAAAGCTTGCCGTGGTCTGCAGGTAAACGGTGGAGTCTGATTAATGCAAAATTTGAATGGTTTTTATTTCTTCTTCTTCTTTTTTCCCACATAAAGAAGTAGATCAGATAGTGTTATTCCCGGCCAGCCCACACCATTTGGGCCTAACAATTTGATCCATGTTCTTTTCGACATGTCAATCTCATCCGTGTTAAAATGTTAAGGGCTTAAGGCCATAACCCATGAAACTTGAAACTTGCGGGGGCTCGCCTGAGGTGGTGACCCGAAGGAAATCACAGTCCCAAACCTCAAAAAAATTGGGCATCAAATTCATTCCCACTTTCAAACAAAGTAACATTATAAATAATTTTTACAAGATTATCTATACATAATACAAAAATTTTAATAAAACAAAAAATAAAAAGAGACCAAGCTACGCGCCAGCGCCCCTCGCGAGTGCTCTCCGTCATGCAAATACAATCACCACAACGAATCTTATCTCTATCATCCAGCTTGGCGCTAACCTCCCGCTCGAAGTCCCCGCCGCGAAGTTTCGGATGGATATGGGAGTAACGAGAATTGCAGTTCGTATGAAGATTCAGATGCGGTTAGAGAAACAAGCGATGGTGGGTTTTCAGTCGGCGTATATGGAATTAAGATGGATTAGAAGAAGAAGCACTCAAATCTCACAAACGGATGGAAAGCTGCTAAGCCCAGCAATTAGGCCGCCTTTTCCTATTTACATTTCCACGGACCCAAAACACATTGATCTTCACCAGCTGCAACAGCTTTATGCCAATTGCAACCACTCGTGCCATAGGTTCCCCAATTACGTGGACTCCCATGGCCGCGTCGAACCCGTCGATATCCATAAGCTCGGCGTTGCTCTGTCTCACAGCGCTGTGCTTGTCTCCGTATTCTGCAAACCTCACCATATTGTTGATGATGACGGGGATAGCGATTCCACTTCCTCCACGGATTCGTCGAAGACGATTATGGGTATGGCAGATTTCTTGCAGAGCGTGACGCCGGTTTCTCCCTTCGACGGTCAGTTGGTGGGCTTTGGCCGTGCCATTTCTGATTGCGGCCTTACCGCTTCAATCTACGATGTGATGGTAACAATTCCCGACTTTCCATTGATAAGACATGGTGACGGCGAAATAAATTGATATCGCAATACAACCTTTTTTTTCCCTAGTACTAGAATAACACGTAACATCGAAGAAACTACATTTTATGCCTCTCAATCGATTATTTGTTTGGCGATTCAACCATTTTAGCCAACGTGGTTGCATGAACATGCTTCAGTACTTTGCAGGTCATTCCTTCCCTCTGGAGACTGGGAATTGGCCGAGTGATAGTTAAAAAAATTGTAAGGTATTGTTGCTCTCTTTTTGTTAATGTTAATCTGAATAGTTCATGAGATTGAGTTGCTTCACAAATTGGGCACTCTCAATTATCGCTGCATAGTTGACTGCTTGTTGACATGCTTCAAGTCTTCAACCATAGTACCCTGAGTTTGTTGTGGGGCAGTGATTGTTGGTGTTCAATTATTACTGGGATCACCAAAATATAAGCTCCATATCTTGATTTCATCAATCATCAAATTACCATATTTTGAGTTATTTGATTTGAATATGTATTTGGTTCTTCGAAAAATGAAAACAAGGTGATGTTTTGACTTAACCCAGCAAGTTTTTGTTGTCTCTTGGCTCTTTTCCTTCTCTCCCTCTCTTTACTCTAACGATCAAACACATAAATAATCTCAAGGAATCTCAATATCATCACTTCCTCTTTGTAGGATGCTCACAAATAGAGACATTTATGACATCGCAGCTCTTTGTACAGAGAATGAGAGGTATTTAATTGATTCTTCTGGAGCTCCTTGTCCCATCCTCTTATGGACTGCAATTTATAAGCACATTCATTGTCAGGTTATTCTTTAAGGCATGTGGATTTGGAGGTGACATTTTGGGCTCTACTACCATGATGTACACGAAGGCTACATCATCAACGACCCAGCAAGGTGTGAATATGAAGTAAGACGCATAGGCCGAAAGCTATTGTTGGTTCCACCTCTTAAAGGACCCTTCAAATCCTCGAGGGCAATCATGTAATGAGTGAATCCTCGTCGCATAAAACAGAAATGAAACTGCAGAAAGCAAAGACAAGATCGGTACCGCTCCATAAAACAATTTTTCAATAATTAGCATCTCTATTTTTGTTTCTTCTTGACAGGTGTAAATTAGAAGTCATATTTGACGTGAGAACTGGGAATGAGCAATCGCAGGAAGAAGAAGCCCTATGGTTCAATGTAAATGTGTTATAAATTGTTTTGTACAGATTCTTGTAAGTTCTTTTACATGTGACTGATTTAATATCCCCATTCAAAATAGTAACAGATTCCTGCTTGTTTGTGATTCATTTAGCAGGCGGGATTTAACGCTAATGTTTGGTGAGGATTTTGATTTTCCGAGCAGCAAAGGAAAGTAGGCTTTGGAACAATGCAAAGCATATTCTTTTTCTTTTTCCTGTTCAGACCTCGTTGAAGGAAGAATTTTTTGAGACAAAGATCTCTTTGTTATCGTGTTTTTCTTCCATGAGCCTTCTATGGGGAAAGTCTGGGTTGAGGCAAGCCTCGTATCTGCTCATGGGCTCGGGTATCCACCCTCGCTTTGGAAGCGTCAATGGTTTGCTGTTGGATGGATTGATCCTAACTGCAAATATTGTACCAAGGTTGATGCCTCTGGGAGTGAAAATCCTGTTTGGAAAACCAAGTTTGCCATTCTGGTTGATGACTCTGAGTCAGAGATCAACATCCAAGATCTAGTGTTGAATGTGGAAGTTCGTAGTATAGATCCTATATTCCTCACGGAAAAGGTACATGGCTCTGCATCTGTTATCATCAAAGAGTTTCTAGCGAAGAAGGTTCCAAATTCAGAGGTTTCTTTAAGCACGGGAAATGAGGAACTTCGGAGCTACCAATTACGAAAGAAGGATTCCGACAAACCAGCAGGCTTCATTGATATTTCAGTTCGTATTTTGGAGGAAAAGAAAGGGCAAAATTCGAACCTAGGTATGAATTGGAGCGGCTACTTCCTGGCTATGCCTCATTTTTTTAACAGGAAATTTGCCTTTTGTCGTTTGCAAAGATGCATGCCTCTGTCACGTGATCTTTGATTTTTTATTTCCCATTTCAAGTGAAATTTTTTTAAAAAACTATAATCTCCTGTTCTTAATATAAGAGTTTTTTTTATTTCTATTTTGACATTAAATATAAGATCCTAATCAACTTTGTCTTTAAATTTATTCATTTTTTTAAAGTAGTTTTTATAGTAATAATAGTTCTGGCTAATACACTTTTTAGTAAGGATATTTTAAAAAATATCTATTTATTACAAATAGTTAATATAATTAATTTTTTTAATCTATTTAAATTAGTTAACTAATTTTTATATTAAAAACAGGAGGTAGTATAAAGATAAGATTCAAGATTGAGGCGTGTGATTGTTGGTTAGCAAAAGTAATGGTTTTATGTTTTAATTTTAACTCTACTCCTCTTCCTTTCACCTCCTACGCATTTTGTGTTTGTTGCGAAGGAAAGAAGAGAGGAAACTTGACTACAGAAAATGGATTAGGGGAGGAGTATTCTTCCCCCCACCGCCAAAAGAAGGAAGCACGGACAAACATTCCCGGCTCCTATCCGAGGCAACTCCCTACCAACGACTCGGACACTGATCCGGATGAGGGCAGACCTAGTTACGAACGACGGAGAACTCCTCCTCCACCGCCCCCACCTTCAAATGCCGGTTATATTCCCACTTTTCTACCCAAAAATGATTCCTTGCCACCACCATCATCTGGGCCAAACCCTCCTGAGAATGTACCTCCGGGGTTGGCGATGGGAGCTCTCATATTTGGGGATGACTTCATGTCTGGATTTGATGTTCCTTCTGGCCTTGCTTGTACCATGCCCACTGATCCTCCTTCCTGAACAAGTGCCAGGCTGCTTGCTTCTGTTGTAAATGTTACTTGTTCTTTCTTAAAACATTAATTAATACTACCTCGGTTCTTAATATAAGGTTCTATTTGATTTTTTATTTTGGTCCTAAATATAAAACCCTAATCCACTTTGTCTCTTATATTTATTTATTTTTTTTCAAAGTAGTCCTTCTAACAATGATAGTTTTAGTCAATACACTTAATTAGCAAGGATATTTTAGGAAAGACAACACATATTTAGAATAAATAACTAATTCAATTTATTTCTTTAATCTCTTCAACTTAGTCAATTGACTCTTATAATTAGGACCGGAGATAGTACTAGTTTATTAGTCCTGCAGAAAAAATCATTCGGCTCAATCTGGTATTCCAAATGACGTCTTTAATCAGTGAAAACGCAAACAAGGCAATCAACCTGAAGCCACCGAAATGTATAGGCGGCCCACCGTTTTTCCCAATTTATACAACTAAGGAATACCGCGCGGTAAGGATTTTAAATCTCCAGGAATAATGACTATTGTATATGATTATTGACCTTTATTAGTATTAAAAGTCAACGATTGATGCTACGTACCTTGTGATTTTTTTTTTGACCAGTCTAAATTGATAAGGTTTACCAACTAAAATTAGACGGTCGATAAGGATTACCAACTATAATTAAACGGTTGTTGGCCCAAACAAAAAAATTGAGTAAAAATAAATTAAATTTGAAGGTCTGATCCTAAGGCAAAATCTAAGGAGAAAACTTAAATCCAGTTCATTACGTCCAGTCTAACCAGTTCACCAATCAACATGCGCCACCTGGATTAATTGAACACCTCACCATTTCACACCGTCTCCCTCCGTTAACCAGCCGCAAGTTCCTAAATCTACAATTCTATCTGCTATTATGGAATTAATTACAGTGCTCAGCGGCTATCAATTGATTCCCCATTCACGGGTCACGACAAAACAAATCAAAGTGGTGCTTCACTCCTCTTTTGATTAAAAGACTGTGCTTTATTTCTCTCTATCGACAAATTGAGAGGGGATGGCTGGTACAAGAGAAGTTTGCTCTTGGAATTATACTGATATGAAATTTTTATGCATGAAGGCAGTTCTTTGATTTTTCAAAACCATGGGTACCTAAACATCTTTGGACTAGAAACAAGGTCTTCAACTCTTTCAACGATTGATTTCAAGATTAAAGAAAGATGATGACAAAGCAAGAGCGAGGGAAGAACCTAGAAAGAGCAACTTGAGCAAGATTTGACGGCATCACGGCAATCACAATTCTAAAACCAAGTACCTGCTCAGAATCTCAGGTCATTGATACCCAATACCTACAAATCATGATCACCACTCCTCTTCACCGATCATGAATCCACAACATAGATTGTTGCAGTCCTCTGTTCATGAAGTTTCCTCGACTGACAATCCACTTTGCTGAGTGCACTGCCACTGCCCTCTCTTCACCGCCGCTGCAACTGCTTGCCCACTATCGCCATTTCTCATCGGCTGCAGTCATTTCTTCATGATCACTGCCCGTAAACGGAGATAGGGAGGAGAGATCCATAGTAGCAAACAGTACTGTAGATTTAGGAAATGATTGTATCTTCAGGAATCTCCTGCCTTCTCTGAGGCTCAAGTTTCACAAGATCTTGGTAATGCTATCTCATATCTCTTTCCCCTGATGTAATATGTTTTGATTTGTTAATTTTTGAAGCTCAAGCTTACCTTGTTATTCCAAAAAAAAGAGAGGAAGGAGATGATTAATTTAACGTTGCGACTCGTTAACGGAGGAGAAGATGCTGTGAAATATTGATGTGTTTAGTGAATCCAGGTGGCACATGCTAATTGGAGAACTGGTTGGACTGGACCTAATGAACTGGATATAAGTTTTCTCCAAAATCTAATCCATACAGTTCATACTAGCGACCCATGCGATTCACGGGGACGATTCGGGTATGTTTGGATTGGCGTTGGGCAAAACTGACTTCTAGCTCAACTGACTTTTGTAACTGAAGTTAGAGTAAAAGTCAGTTAGAGTATGTTTGGATAGGTGCTTTTGAAAAGTCAGTTGAAAAAGCTGGAAGTTGTTTGGATGATGAATGAAAAAGTTAGTTTAGTTGTAAAATGACTAAAAAGGGCATGAACTTTATTAAATAGTAGTTTTTTGATTTTTTATGTTTTTAATGTGATAATAGGTTAAAAAAACATATAAAATTATTATGATAAAATATAAATAGTTTAATTGTGAAATTATGAAATAAAAATATTTGTGCTGAAAAAAATAAAAAAACACATTGGAAATAATTAATTAAATATACATAATGGACAAACATGAATATAAATTAAAATTCATTTAGTCTGTAATTAAAGTAAATGAAATAACATAACTAATTAGATAGTAAACTTTGCACAATTTGGTCTCTAATTGAGTCACGAACACGATTCATTTGTGCAGCAGATGTTAAACTTGACGAGGATGCCTCACCACTTGCATGATTATTTTCTTCATCTATTACACTTCCATGTTCAGCTTCTATAAAGCGATCATCAGTTGGAGAATTTTGCCTGATAAAATTATGGACAGCCATTGTTGCACAAACTATGCCGACCTGTGTTTGAAACTTGAATCTGGGCATATTGCTTAAGATTGCAAACCTATTCTTCCACACCCCAAAAGTTCTTTCAATAGTGGATCTCAAACTAGAATGATAATAATTGAAGGCCTCATTCTGATTTGTAAATCTTGGGTGACGATTAAAGTCTGGAAGGTGATAGCGCTCACGTCTGTACGGGCCAAGGTATCCCACTTGTGATGGATAACCAGCATCAACTAAATAATATTTTCCTAAAAAATCATGACGAACTTATATTGAGGTGAAAATGATACAAATGAAGCTGAATTTAAAAATATTTAATTTGAAATCAAAGAAATATACCTTCAGGTGGATGAGGAAAATTCAGGGATGGAGTTGAGATAGCAGAATGAAAGACACGAGCATCATGTGCACTACCTTCCCAGCCCGCCAACACAAACGTGAAACACATATTCCAATCACATACGGCCATGACATTTTGACTAGGAAATCCCTTCCTATTGATATATTTGTCTTGCCTAGCTTGACTAACCTTACATCTTATGTGGGTACCATCAATTGCTCCAATTGCATCTCTAAAAAATGGGAAGTATCGTGGATCATTTGTTATTTTTGGGTGACAATAGGAAAACGTAGGATCAGTTGGCCTGATATTTTCTCGAGATAAATTGAGGCAAGCAGCTAACACTCGATGAAAATGCCGACTGACAGTTTCTCCTGAATGCTGAAACCTTTCCTGAATCATCCTATTACATTGGCCATGCGCAATTATATTCAAGAACATGGCAACAGATTCATGGATACCTATGTACTTAGTATTTTGTAACCCATGTTCAACCAATTTAGAACATAACCGATAGAATGTCTCTGTTTCCATTCGAAACATTTCCTTAGACCGTCCTACATGCCCGTCTAAAAGTTCTTGAACCCACAAATAACCAGTTTGTTCACTAGTTCTACATGGTTGTTTGCACAGAAAAGGTGTCACATACTGACCCATTAACACACTTAGCTCTGATAATTGTGTTGTGTGTTCATGTATAGCGGGAAGTAATTGAGACCATTCATCTCCCTCATCATCCTCCCAACCCTCGTCCCAACCCTCCGTTGAATCAGACATAATAGATGTGTGTTACCTGTGAATAGATAAATACTAAATATAAGTAAAATTTTCACAAAAAAGAACAGAAAAGATAATACACAAATCGTCATTAAACTTTAACATAATAATTAAACATAGTAATGAAACACACATTAAACTTGGTCATTAAACATAGTCACGAAACACAAAACATTAAACCTAGTAATTAGATACATCGTCATAACACATAGCACATAATAATACACTAAGGTAGAAAAACAGAAGTCATAACAAGTCTGCTGGCACAACTCAAGGATTCTTTGGTGCAGCATATGGCGGTGGATTTGCAGCATTGTGCTTCAACCAAGCCACTAATACCTCCCGATTTTCTCTCAGACCAGCATATATGTCCCTGAAAGTCTTGTTTGCCAGCAGATTACAACACATGACACAAAGATGAGTGTCACTAACAATTTCCTTCATACTCAGCAGATCAGAGGTAAGCTCGGTAGTGTTATCACTGTTGACCAATTTGTTTACTGCTGCTGCTGTACTAATTGAAGCCTTCTCAATTGAGCTTACTGAATCTGCTATTCTTCTTGTCGCTGGCATTTTTTGTTTCTTGTACTTATCCAACCCTCCACCTCTCTTCCTCTTCCCTTGGCTCCCTGAACCAATACGTATACTGGGTGTAGTGTTTGATGTGTTTGCAGTTAAATTGATGCCGTCCAAATCGTCCGAAACTCCTGCAGGGCGTTCAGTGTCAACACCTAAAAGGCCATCTTCACTGTCCCCTGAACCTTCTTCCCAATCCATGGTTGGTCGGTAATCATTTGACTGATCAGTCCTATGTGGCTCAGGCTGTGGCGCAGGCTGTGGCTCAGGCTGGGTTGAAGAAGGTGACCACATATCTTGTCCTGATGCCATAGTGCCCCTGAATAGAGTTTCTAATTCAGTCCGAAATTTTAACCCATGCTGCCTAAACTTTTCGTATGCTGGATTTTCCTGCAAAGCCAAAAGTAAACAAAGGTTAAATTATTTTCAGAAGTCACTAACTGCTTAAAAATTAACAGGAGTTAGTTCATACCAGCTTCTTTCTCTCCCACCACTCATCAGATGCCACCACTGTGTTCCTTTCAGGGTCCCACCCTATGCCGGTCTCCTTTCCAATTAGCTGCTCAAATAGCTTCCACTCTTTCCTCAAGTTATCCAATCTATTTTTCAGCTGTTTCTTCTCATATCCTCTCCCTGTCTTTTCATTGAATGTTTTATGAATGTTGTCCCAGCCTAGCTTTGTAAAAGAGGATCCTTGACGATGTTTGTTAAAAACTTGGTCCATGCATATTTTGAGAAAAACACCAGTAGTGCTTACATCCCAATACGCCTTGCCTTTATCGTTACTCATTGTTCTTGATGAAATTACATATGTATCAAATTCACAATAGATTTAGAATGAAGCAGTAACACACATGAATAAACCCACAATTAATAGTGTCTGCTTAAACTTTTTATTTAAAAACAATCAATCAATACATTTTTAAACTATTAATAGTGTTTGCTTAAACCACATCCCTCTTCAATTCTAAATGAATTCCCTAAATAATAACTCCCACGTATTCTTAGAAAGATTATCAGGCTGATTTATCAAATACTACCAGCAAATCTATCAGATACTACCAAGACAAAAAAAATCAGCAAATTTATCAAATACTACCAGGACACAAAAATCAGCAAATTATCAGACACTACCAGCAAATTTATCAGATACTATCAGGACACACAAATCAGCAAATTTATCAGATACTACCAGGACACAAAAATAAGCAAATTTATCAGATACTACCAAGACACAAAAATAAGCAAATTTACCAGATATTACCAGGACACATAAATTAGCAAATTTATCAGATACTACCAGGACACATAAATTAGCAAATTTATCAGATACTACCAGGACACAAAGATTAGCAAATTTATCAGATACTATGGAGACACAAAAATCAGCAAATTATCAGATACTATCAGCACACAAAAATCAGTAAATTAAACAGATAATACCAGAGAATTAAACCCACAAAGGCAGATGAGTTCGAAGAACAATGAAGCAAAACGGTTGATCTGAAGCTGCGACCTTACCTGCGACCTGAAGCTCCGGGTTTGAAACAGGGCCAAGCGGAAGAGATCACGCAGGGAGAAGCGCCGACGCAGGGGAAATCAAGTGAAGCAGAACGACGCACGGTCAATCGAGTCGAGCGGGGCGAGCTCGGTCGAACAAGGGGATGCTAGAAGGGGCGAGCTCGGTCGAACAAGGGGATGCTAGAAGGGGCGAGCTCGGCAGCCACGGTGAACCTCAACAGATCCGGTGAAGCAAACGCACTGAGGATGCTAGAAGGGGCGAGCTCGGTCGAACAACCTCAGGACCACCGGAGAAAATGCAGAGAGTGAAGGAAGGAGAAGCACCGGCGATAATCACGGATGGAGAAGCGCCGGCGAGAAGGAGGGAGGGAGAGCGGTCGGTCACGGACTCACGGTGAAGCAGGAGGGAGGGAGACCGTGGAGAAGCTCTACGAAGGGAGACCGTAGCGAATGGATTCGGGGGGAGGGAAAATGCAGGGAGGGTTTTACTGGTAGGTGGTATTTTTTATGGATCTAATAATGACCCTCAACGGTAAATTTCAGTCTCAGACGCTCCCAGAAGTCACTCTCCTCAGCGTTGCCAACGTCCACCGTTTGCTTCAGAAGTCAGTTGGATAAGATATTGCAGCCAAACAACCATTTTCCTTCATTTCAGTTGCAAACGCTGGTTTCACAATTTCCTAGGCACTTTCACCGTTTGAATCGGCAATCCAAACATAGCCGAAATCAGACTTTCCGGTTAGTTCGCTGCATATCACGATTCCCGTAATTGAGTTCTCAACTAACCAAACCGGCCATTGGATCCCAGGCGGAGAAAAAACATGTGGAAAAAAACTGAGCGATTGGATCATACAGCATCACAACTAAAATTCAGACTCCCTACCCCCACTATCGGTTCATAATCTAGACTGCAGATAATAAACATCCGTCGGGAATATCGGTCTCCAAGAGAGAAACTCCGAACCCATCAGAAATGGAAGCTCTTCTGTGCAGAAAATTGGGTGATCCTACTGTGGCAGCACAAGATGATTCTAGCCCAATATTTGTCTCCAAAAACCACCCTATCCCTGAGTTGGATTCTCCCACTTCTGTAAGGGTTAGAATCAAAGCCACCAGCTTGAATTTTGCAAATTATTTGCAGATACTGGGTAAATATCAAGAGAAGGCTGCTTTGCCATTCATCCCAGGTTCCGATTTTTCTGGCTTCGTTGACTCCGTTGGCCCCAAAGTTTCCAACCTCAGAGTCGGAGACCCTGTTTGTTCCTTCGTTCCTCTTGGCTCTTTTGCTGAATTCATCGTTGTAGACCAGAGCCAACTGTAAGATTCTGCCCAAATTTCCCTTTTGCTCTTTATTCCATTTTATTGTTAATTTTAGAACTCTTCTACGTCATGTGTTTAATGTTTGTTAATTGTTAAGGTTTCGCGTACCTGAAGGTTGTGATCTGGTTGCTGCCGGCGCCCTTCCAGTGGCTTTCGGTACTTCACACGTCGCACTCGTCCATAGAGCTGGATTGACCTCTGGTCAGGTATCTGACTATCTTCAACTTTAAAAATTCACAAGTTGAAGCATTTATTGAATATTAGTTGACCAGACTAATAATGATATCTCAGTGCGAGTTTTTATGTATCTTCTGATCCAGCATGTATATCCATGAGTCTCACAACTACCCTTAATTCGGTCCTCCTATGGTTTGTTTCAGTCAGTTTAATGCTATTACCTTTCTCAGCTTTGATTGTTGCATCATGTGTCCAACGGTGTATTTAAATAGATTATGGAACTGTAGGTATTGCTTGTTTTGGGTGCCGCAGGAGGTGTTGGCCTTGCAGCCGTACAAATTGGGAAAGCTTGCGGTGCCATTGTCATAGCTGTAGCTAGGTAGTGAATTGTTTTAGTTGCCGATAATGTAACAGTTGACAAGCATTTCTCCATCCATTAATAGCACATTTACTCGGTGTCTCTAGGAGTTTAGCATTCCTAACACAACCTGGTTACAGGGGAAGCGAAAAGGTGCAGCTCTTGAAATCACTTGGTACTGATCATGTGGTGGACTTGGCTTGTCAAAATGTCACTCAAAGTGTCAGAGAGTTTCTTAACGCTCGAAAGCTCAAAGGGGTCGATGTCCTGTATGACCCAGTTGGAGGCAAGCTTACTAAGGAGACTATGAAGCTTTTGAACTGGGGAGCTAACATTCTGATCATTGGGTTTGCAAGCGGAGAAATTCCTGTCATCCCTTCTAATATAGCTCTTGTAAAGGTACGTCAAGAACAAATTTTCGGACTGATTGTTGATTGGATGACTTTTTGCTTGTCACTTATCTGATCATGCTTTATGAAACACAAACGGATTGAATTCTAAAACAAGTTATGGAAGGAAGGATTTGAAATCAGCCGGAGATATTGCAGGGAAGCCCGCCTGATGCCTCACAAATTGCAGTTAAAATTGATCTAACCTTCTTTCGTTCATTTCTTTCCTTCTCTTCCAATGTGGTCCCTTTGCGTCACGATGTTATTCTGGCTCCTGCTGTTAAGTTTCTGTCTAAGGCTTTAAATTAGTTGGCATAAGAAAGGGATAAAGCAGCGTGTATCCAGTTTGGTGCATTTCCTATCTTATGCGATGTTATATGATTGTATCCGTTATTTAGTTGCACATGTTTAAAAGAAAGATGCGATGGCTTGGTATGATGAAAAGTGTGGGAAATATACTAAATCTCTTGTTTTCTTATAACACAATAATTTTGCAGATGATACTCCTTGCTGTCTGAGGTTACTTTTATATCTACTCATCTTGAGGGAAAATTACGATTTGTGAAGCAATGCTCTCTTTCTGTTTCACATTTAGCATGTAATTTGTTTGCTCGAGTCACATTCTCCTCGTCATATTCAGAAAACTTATTTTGTGGATCTAAGGCAGCATAACACCAACTGTCAAGCTTTTCAAATGAAAAGCCATTAACTCCTGCCACGGCGGTGGTGCCTCTGTTTTGTTACTGTGAAATGCTTATTGTTCGGATCCTTCATTTTTTTCGGCTGTGATGTCTTGGATTTATTTATATTTAATATTGTTGTAACAGAATTGGACAGTGCATGGTCTTTACTGGGGTAGCTATAAAATACATCGCCCGGCTGTTCTTGAAGACTCTGTTAGGGAGCTACTATCCTGGCTGGCAAGAGGCTTGATTTGTATCCACATTTCTCATTCTTACCGGCTCACAGAGGTCAGGATTTTTCTCTTTTGTGCACATTTGTTCTTTTAATTTGAGGTCTAGCCGTGGCTAAATGGTGTCGATCCCCCTAAATGTTGCAAGGCGTGCCATTAGATCTTCCTAGATTGTGTTAAGAAGCTTACTGGTACCGTTCGGAGGGCAATTATCTCTAGAAAGAAACTTGATTGCCCGATTTTTGTCAATTTAGTGAGTTGCTGCTCCTGAAACCCCTCACGAGTAAACATAAAGCGAGCTGGGAGAGGAGGGCAAACAAATGAATGATTTAATCTTATTGTTTCTTTTAATGTGAACCAAATATGATATTTACACGTAAATCTATGCTGGGTGTTAGTAATGGTTAGTTTGTTTCTGCAATCCCTTTGGATGTTTTTCAATATCTCTCTCTCTCTCTACACACACACTCACTGTCAGCTAAGAATTAAGATGTAATATACAAGAAACATCTATGCATATGGTTTTTGGGAATTAACGATCTGGCAAAGATCTTTCCTTGCAGGCCAACCTCGCCTTTGCTGCTATCAGAGATAGAAAAGCTATTGGGAAGGTGATGATTGTTTTTGATGAGAAACGTCCCATATCTAAGCTGTGAATCCGCTAAAGTTGAAGAATTTTGCCTCGTTTATGGTGCCTTTTGATGTCTGGATAACATTTTCCAATAAATGTATGGCACATGTACATTTAGCCAAACTATGGTGCTAATGAAAGATGGTCATCCCTCAGTTTTAGTCACTGTCTATTTATGCTTTCCTCCTAAAACTTAGTCTGCCCGGGCTACGGGGCCCTATCCAGTACAAATTGGGCTTGATCCATTCCTGGTTTGGCCTGATTTCAAATTGGGCCTGTTAGTCGGGCTGAAAGACTTTATAATTCCTAATTCCTAAAATTATGAAGTGGCGTAACCTATTTGTAGTTTCTATTTTGGTTTTACCATTATTATATGCATACCGGGTTCGGTCACACACATGGATAATGTTTTGTTTTGGGCGAGGTTTAGTCTAATATTGGATAAAAGGTGACGATGATATTATGTGACTTGACTGAAGTTGATTGTTAATTGAAGTGCGTATTTCTTTCACCAATGCATGCATCTGGTCTGAAAGTTTCTTTGAAATGTTGCGCGTCATAAATATATACGAAAACCATAAACATGAGACGGAAGCATGCAATGTCTTATACGCAGTGAGTGATTAGCAACCGCCAATGATGACCATCATATATATTGATCGGTTTCTTAAGGCGATGCTGTCCGATTTCATTGCGACACTGGTTTAAAAATTAAAGATATGGAGGCGAGTTATAAACAACGTGTATATACATATGTAATATTTTCGATTCTCAGTACAAGACCTAGTTAATTAATTTGAAAAAAAAATCAAGACATCCATTTAAATTAGTTATTTGTAATAAATATGTGTTGTCTTTTTTAAAATGTTCTTATTAATTATGTGTTTGAGTTACAAATTGATAGTAATTTTTTAACATGTACAATTATTGTAAAGATTAGTTAGGAAAAAAATAAATAAATATTAGAGATAAAATAGATTAGGGTTTTATTTTTTTGAATATATGGAGTTTTATATTTAAAATTAAATTAAAAGTTAAACTAACTCTTTTATTATATTAAGGACCGGAGGTAGTATAACCGAAGTCAAACTCGAAGCGACTACTTAATATGCATATAAGCCAGAAAGTGATATATAGTACTATATATATATGACAAGTACTATCGCGGTCTTAATATAAAACTTTGTTTGTAGTAACGAGTCTGAGAATCATCAACCAAATAACACCCTTCTACACTAGTCTCACTCTCTCCGCGGCAGAAGCAGATATATCCTTAATCCCTGAGCCGCAAAGGCTTTCGTCGTATCCTACTGCGCCCTTTCGCAACTCATATATATTTTTCATGGACGATGTACGACTCATATATATATGCCAGACACATTCTTAGTTGCTGATTCATTACTGATGGACATGATAATTAATTAACTGCAACTTGATTCTCTCTTTGCCATCCCTGAACAGCGAACATTCATCACATCCATACATCCATCCTGCTCTGGATATTTTAGTCCGTTTCAGCTAATATTGTTATTTAATTCCCACTTCTTTTGAGGGGACTTTCTATGTATACACAGTTGCACAGACTCAGAAACCCCACTTGAAGAAAATGGGAACTTGAGCTTTATCCAGAGCATATCCGGATTTCTCTTGTCAGTACCAATATCCTCCACTTATTTCAAGGACACATTTTGGAGTAATTCATATTTTATGTGACAGAATCATACACTGTTGGGTAAGAACCCATTATCAACGTCGGTGAAAATTGTGCAGGTGCAACTTCTCGAGGCGGTGTCTGCTGAAAGCCTTGGACGGCTTTTAGAAGAATATTATTTCTATGTTTATGATAACGCACCTTTTAGATAAAATAAATTACTTTTATGATGTTAATTACGTTTTTATGATATTACTCCTATCTAAACTCATTAGTCATCACTTATCAGAGAGCGTGTAATGCAAACATGAAGATTTTTTGTTTCAGTATGTATAAAATCAGAAATTTATCTCATTTTTAGACAAAGTCGATAATCGCGAAGTGGAGGGATCGGAGTGTCTATAAATACACACACACACACACACACACACACACATATATATATATATATGAGATCTGTGATCTGATTCCACCACAAGGGCCAGCTGCAACATCTGTCTGCTGATCAGGGTTATATTGAATATGCACTAAATTAATGCCATACCAATACCTACTCAGTAGAAATTATAAATTAGAGTCCAAAACGCATGCTTGTATGTGATCGTGTGTGGATGATGCCATACGTTGGTGATGATCGGCAATATATATATATATGTATGTATATATATATAAATTTGATCCAAATACACAGACAAATATATGAGCCTAATTAAGAAAAAGGTGTATAAATCAGCGCAAAAGGCAAAAGCGCCACATATATATAGCAGCTACCTGCGTACCTAGCTGGGTGCCACACCATAGCTTCCTGAGTTGCAAGTTACAATGCAAAATCTTAATCATCATCCATAGTCAGTGGATCGGATCTCCACCGGCTCATATCACCTTCTCGAGAACACTATTCTAATATAAATGATTATTCTTGTATACTTTCAACTGACTTTAATTTGGTTCATCTATAGTTTTAAAAATTATCAAACCTATCTATGCATGCAAGATAAATTTTCTTTCATTAGTTATTTTTCATCAATATAAATTACATAAATCTTTGAAAAATCATAAATATATCAATATAAAATATAAGTATAAAAGTTATAAAAAAATTACTCTATTTGTTTATAATATTAGCAGCGGAATAATTCATTTTTAATAAATATATAGAGATAATCCATTTAGTCAAATTTTAACAAACAGTATGAATGAGAAAACTAAAATCCATTGAGTTATAATTAATAAGCACATTAAAATTTATTTTTTTTAAAAAGAAACCGACAAGAATGTAATCAATCCTGGGCATATATTAGTGGCTAATACTACCTCCGGTCTTTAATATAAGAGTTAATTTAGATTAAAGATGTTTATTGAGTTAATTATTTGTAATAATTATGTGTTGTTTTTCCTAAAATATCCTTACTAATAATATATTAGCTAAAACTACTATTTGATTAAACATTTAATACATGCAACTACTACAATAACTACTTTAAAAAAATATATAAGTATGAAAGATAAAATAGATTGAAATCTTATATTTAGGATTATATTGAAAGTCAAACTGACTCTTATATTAAGTAGCGGAGGTAGTATATACTTACAATTTGCAAAGTAGTAGATGAGAATCATGGGACATGAGCACGACACAGGCCTTTCTTGTGGCTTTTAATTTGGGAGCTGCGAGTACTGAGGAAGACAAACAAGGAGGAGCTCCCTTCAGTCCAAGCACAGAGAAAGAGGGAAGCAAAATATCTGCTGCTTCATTCACACAATCACAGTATCAAAACGGTCCCGTTTTAATCCCTACTGAGTATGTGTATGAATGACTCAGCAGTTACTTCAGCAACCCTTAATTCTTCATCCATGGCTGGGCTGAAGGAAGCTCCTATTTTTCAACCCTCTCTCACCTCCTCATCACATACATGCTTTAACCTGTCAACATAGGCTCATCTGAAGTCAGAGAGATTATAAATTAAAACAGTTCTTCTAAATCAATTCATCCACAAGGCTCAAATACGATAATATTAAAGGCCTTTTTTTCTCTTGTATGAGAAGTTAATTAGTTGAGCATTAATTAACTTCGAAAGAGAGAAGTAGGAACGTTTGTATGGAAATAAGATTATAGAAGACGGATTTCTTGTCATCACAACAATCGAGGGGTTTTAACTATGAAAACAATGACTTGAAACTTGAGTCTCGATCAGACTGGTATGAACATGAATTGTTATAAGCTACTAGCAAATTAAATTAGCCTGATGAAGAGATTGTTCCAGAAGTAAGAAGCAGCTTGTCAAAAGTAAAACTGGAAGGGGTAAAAATAGAAGGAAAATTTGAAACAAGAAAGAGGAGGTCTACCTAGGGACGCCAAGAAGCAAGCGAAAAACTGGAGGCCGGGCCGTGTCAACAAAAACATATTGTAATGATCAGCTAGCTAGCTAACTGATGAAGTTAAGCATATTAATGCAAGTTTAGGGCTTCACAAAATATTTAACCTATGCTTTTCTTGAATAACCCTTTCATAAATGTTGGTGAGAAACAAATATGTGGAAAGCTTATAACACTCGGACAAATAAGCAAAGGAAACCCTACTTTTGCGAAACGCTGGACCCATGAATTAGAGGATCAAGAATGGTGAATTAATATTAACTACAACATCGGACATGCTTACCTTGGTGACCAAACCAATTAAGAATTCAGGGAAGAGAAGAAAAGACAGATCTCCCCATATTCTCAGGCTTAAGTAAGCCGGAGCAGCCCAGTTTATCAGAGCTTGGGAGACGAGAGAAGAGGATATAATGCTTGGAGGTTGAACATGTATGTCCGAAAGCAGAACCTCAAAAAGTCAATCAGCCAGCTGAAACCCTAAGTCTGGTATGCTTTTTATGAGAATCTCCGCCGGAGCCTACACAGGAGGAAAATGAGATATATAAAAGAAACGAAAACGTACTGTGATCTGTAAAGACCAAAAAGGACCCGCAGCTTAAGGATGTCCATTGGATTATTAGGGGGAGAGAATTTTTTTTTTTTTTTTCCATTTTGTTTTGAGATTCCCTTTCAGAGCTAAAAAACGAAAATTCAAAAGAGACACGATGATGATGATGATATTATGATAATGAGTCATTGTCGTCATGAGAGTCAGAGACAGGGAAATAAATACAGGTTGTAATCTGGTGACACAACCTTATGGGGCTAAGGAGAATCCGAACGACAGTAAATTCCATTATTTATACGAATATAGAAACTATATTCTGCAGAAAGCAGACGGGCAGAGATAGAAGCACAAATATTATACAAGTGTTAAATAAATTGGGGGGGGGGGGGGGGGACAAAACGAGCTAGGCTTTGTGGGAATGTGATGAGCATGGACTCAAATGATGTTTGGTTTCATCTAGAGAGAGAGAGAGAGCCGACACCTTCCCGTCATTTTCGAAGCCACTGTTCAAGCGTATGCAGCTGGGTCTTTAACTTGAAAAAAATCTAGTTTATATATACATACTACGACATCATCTGAAGTACAAAGATGTATTGTTAATGTTCGTACGGTAAGTCTCACAATGGCTAGTTTTCCACAATGAAGTTAGGCGACGGACGAGAAGAAAAACCGAATATGATTGAGGCTTTTATTTTGGCATAAACAATATCAGCAAATACAACATACGCATCATACATGCATGTGTATACGATTCACAACCAACATGAAATCATTGAATTTATATAATGAAAGTATATATTGCTGATCAGCATCGCGAGATTCAACAGGGGTCGCAATGAAAATACAGAGGGGGACCTGATGAGCACCAATGCTCATCTGATGAGCAATCTGGACGGTCCAAATTTAATATTATTAAATAGTTATTTTAAAATAAAAAAATTATATTTTTAAAGAATGATAGTTAAGAGATTATCTTTATTTTTTATCATATACCTATTAAAATAATTATTTTTAAAAAATAAAAATAAACCTGGACTGTCCAAATCAGATCTGAAGGGTCCAGATCTGATGAGCATTGGGTGCTCATCAAAACTGATGAGCACCCAATGTAAATCCTGATTAGACAAGGTTAATTAAGGGGAAATGGCGAAGGAAATTGACAATAGGTGAGGGCAGATATGATTATTTGCAATAATTGTAACTGAGAGACATCTATCTAACAGCTGAGTAAACCTTTTCGCTCATTTATTTTTTTGAAAACATTAGTCCTTCTTTATAATTTCATAAATTCACGGTTTTTTGATTAAAAATTAATTTTCTTTTATGATTATTTCCCAAATAAAAGTTCGTAGAATCTTTGATTATCAAATTATCTGTCACCCAAGATCAAGACTGAAAGTGGAGCGTGAGATTTTAAATTCATATAAATATTTTGAGTTATGACAAATTCTTTAATATGATAACTTTTTAATGATAGCTGGTCTTTAATTTGAATAGGAAATAACTGGAAGAGCCAGAATGCTGCTAAAAATAATAGAAGAGCGATAAGGAATTATAATAATTACTAGTTTTTTCGAATGGTCTTTCACATGATGTAGGAAAACTACAATAATTAAATAATCAAGAATTGAATCTTGGTCCTTTTTAGTTCTTCTTAACAGAAACTAAATTCTAACATTATATATAATACTCTTCTGTCAAGACACACACACACACGCACAGAATTAGGCCCGTTCACTTAGGCTTTTTTTTTTTTTAAAAAAAAAAGACAATCACTCATTTTTTCAAGAAGAAATATTTTGAAAATTTGTTTAAGCTTTTAAAAATAATCCAATTTTTTAAAAAAACAGTTTTTTTATTGTTTTGAGAAGGTATTTAAGTAGTTTTTTTTAATAATAATCTGTTAGGGAATATAAGCAAAAATATTATAAAAATAAGAAAATACACGAAGATATCATAAAAATGTAAAATAATTAGATATATGAAGAGAAATTCATGGAGACATCACGAAATCTGAAAATCATTAGACAAGAACCTTTTATAGTAATGACCAAACAAAAAACATATTCTCCTTTTTACAAAATCTATATAAAATAAATGACTTTTTTAAAATTATTTAAGAAGTATTTATTTATTTTAAGTCTAAACAAATGCACCCATCATCCTGTTAAAAAGCTGCGCAATCTGATGCGGGTGTTTGGCTGGGTGAGATAGGTGGATGGTCATGGAGATCGCCCGTAAATCTGCGCGCGTGCGTCTTTGATCCCAAATACATACCGAAGCGATATGTACCCATTGGCCATTACATGGATTGCTTTTTGATAGTCACATTTGCAATCATAACATATAATATGGTGGTGTGCTAGCCCATTGTGGTACCATTATATGATGAGCCCCCTTAACTGCAAGTCATACAAGAGCTGTGCAAAAAAAATGTGATGAACTACACGAGAGTAAAGTCTAATAGAAGAGATTAATCTCTCATAACATAACAAATCAAAGTTTCAATTTTTACTGAAAGATATGCTTATATTTAGTACTTGACGGTGCTGTCAAATCCTCAACCAGAAATCCTAGGATTTTGGTAAACAAAATGAGGAAAATGGGTAAGTTGGGTACAATGTGCGAATTAATGGAGACATTTATTCGTGTTTCTGAAAACAAAGTGGAGAATGACTTGTCCAATCAGGCATGATCCTTACATCAAGTGTGTTTTGTCCCCACCTATTATATTACGTTTACACCCATCTCTCGTGCCAATCTTGCCCCAGTGCTGCGTTTCATCTTCCCGGCGGGGTCGAGAGTCTGAAACCAAAGGATCGGGTAAAAGAGAAGGAAACATGAAAGGACAATTAAGGGATACTTAGGTCGAGGAATATATGTTATATATGAATACCAGTAGTGTGGAAATACTCGTTACATACTTTTGACAAATGAGGGGAGCTGGGAAGGAATTATAATGAACATGTGAATATGAAACAGAAGTCAACAGCGAGAAGCGAAGTGGCGTAATGGAGGAGGAGGATGATGATGATGAAGTATGCCTTTCGAGTTTCTATAATCCGAATCCACTCTCGGGATTGTGATTAGATTTGCGCTCTTCACTTTTGGGAATCCCTCGTCAACAACTAATGCACCGTTACATCAGGATCATTCAAATGCACCGATACACCGCCAACTAAAAAAAAGTTGATACTTCCTTCTGTTTCCTCTATTCGAATTTGGGCCACAATCTAATTCCCAAATCCAGGCCTTCTTTTCTTCACATTATTTCAATAATCCTCTCTGAAAACCCTAACACAGTCCGCAAGTTTCCCGACGAACAATCACTAACGTTTCAACGGCCAAATACCGGCAGATTTTTTTAGTTTTCTTTGTCGGTATTTAAGTTCCGTTCCAGTTACTTTTCTAAATACCTGCTTATTGGTACCCATAGGCATAATTGGTCTCAAACCAACTAAACCATTAATATAAACTAAATCATTCATCAACATTGATTTACCATTTATTAATATTGACGAACACCGTAAACATATTTCTCGAAATAAAGAGCAATGCCAGCCCTCGAAAATGCATCAAGCCAGCAACGAACTGGTCAGCATATTTGCACAATCCCCGTGAAAGCATATATATAAACAAAAATATGGCGAGGGAGAAAGGCTGGACTTAAATTTCGAAGGGATGTAATATTATGAACAAATTTGTGTTCATCATGATTTTTGGCAAATGTGGAAATATCAGGAGAGCGAATCCTTTCGTTTCAGTATCTGGCAGCAAAGCAAAAACCCCTTGCTCATCGTACCTTATGACAACAATCGAACATGTGCTTATGTACTAAATGTGAACCATATTTATGATGCTTTCCTTCAGTCTGATTTTTTGGGCAGCCATTGATGAGAAAACTTCTCAAATCATAGAACAAAGTAAGGGCATTTTGTAGGTAAAATGCGGGGTGAAATGATAATCCAACCTGAAAAACACTTAGAGAGCCTAAAACAGCTGGAAAATTAGACTTGTCGATCCATCTCCAAAGGTCCGTAGTTCAGCGGGTTTTACCAATGCTCTGCATAGCGGGCAAGTCCGTTCTCTCTCAAACCTGAAGAGTCAGTGCCGTTTTGTTCGTCAAGAAAGGAGAGATAACTATGATTACGAGTAAAATAGAATCCAATTTAGATTTAGATATATCTCATTCATTTATCTTCATCAGCATTGCTAAGCATTTGATGAATCAGTGGCAAGAATCAAAGTTCTATTTTCTAGGAGCCCCGGCCATTGAAAAGAATACAACACCAGCACAAACACCATCATGTTAAAAGATATCTGCGTGAAATTCTAAGCGTTCCATCATGTTTGCCTAACACGAATATCTTGCATGTGCCCCATATGGACATGGCTCTTTTCCAAAAGTGCCCATGCTTTGTGGTCCATAATCAACAAAAGTCAGTGCTTCCGTTCTACCCATGAGACTAATAAGAAAACCAAGTGAATGCACAGTGATATAGCATATGTTCTTTTCGCATGGAAGTTTCTACATGTAGGCTGTAGACAGATTGCCCTTTCCAGAAAATTCTAGTCCCTCTAACCATCCCCCGCTGGTTCGATTCGTTTTTTCTTTTTAAAAGACTCAATTTCCCCCAGAAGTACCAATAAAAACTCATTACGTAGTTATTATGATTATGAATATCATAAAGAAACGAGGGAGGGAGTTTAAGCCTGCCTCAAAAAAGGTGGCCAAAGTCGTTTTAAAATGGAACATAATCAACCAAGATTAACACATTCAATTTTATCTATGAATGAAGAAACACTTTTACCTAGTTGTTGTTACCCTAAACAATTATTAGCTATTGGCTTCAAAAGATGAGTTATTTGGTAAAAAAAACATGAGTTTATTACTTTTTAACATCTTGCACTTTTATTTTGGAAGATCTTGATGAAGAACAGAATCATGATGACCATTCTGATACGCATTCCTCACAGAAGATGTGTTTGCAACGCAACAAAACTGGAGCATGCATCTTCTCTTGGCATATAGCACATAGGTCGCCAGCAGCATTTACCTGCATTTATAATTCAGAATTTTAAATGACAACTGCAACAAAACCACTTTGATAAATGGAACAACCACCCTGCTGCCGCAGGTTACTTTATTAAACCATCAAAGTGCCGACTTCAAGAGCTATAGAGGAGACAATCCTATCCCATAAAAATAAATCCTGGCAACGACTGAGTATCATAGATAAGCCAGCAATAGAATCCTTGAAATTTCTAATTTTCTTCAGCCAAAGACATAACAAATTGGAAACTGGGCACATTGCCAATTTACAACAAAGCTTTACATCCCTTAGCTGGTAAAACGTAAGAGGACAGGATGGAAATTTGCTCCAATTTCACAGGACAAGCTCAAGATTCCAAAAAACACACCGTTACCCATATAACTAGAGAAATTTTCATAAAGTATGGCACATAGACATGCTCTATACTGTAAAAAGTTTATTTAATTTTGCTTCCAGTTCATTTTCTTCAAAAACAGAAATCTATTAATTGAAGTGATACCTGGCAGTATCAGCTGTAAATGCAAATATATAACCACATAAAAGGTCTCTCCATTGAGTTATACATTAATGAATCACAATCATCCCACCATCAACAGTGAAAATTCTTATTCATCGTCCTCATGACACATGGTTGAATATGAAGTTGTTCATTATGACACTTGATGCAATGCACGGGACAGATAGTAATTTAAAAGCTTTTAGATGAAGGTACTTACTTCTCTACCACGGGAATAAAAAAAGTTGTAGGGAACCCAATGAAATGTGTGGAAAAAGATTGAGAGAGAACAAAAAAAAAAAAACTTTGAACGAAACCTAAAAGAAATTATATTGTTCACAAATTACAAATATTGTGATTCCTCTGGTGTAATATTTTATTACTGGTATTGCAACACAATACTTAAACAAAGCAAAATGGCTTGAAACATTGAATTATTTAGTTCACCTACCTTAAAATGGTGGGACCAACCATTATCTAGTGGATCTGTAGTTGGAAAACCAAGCTTCAAGTAATTTTAATGCATTAAAGAAGTTAAAAAAAAAAAAAAAATCTTTTTTCTTTTTCGAAGACACGGGTATGCAAGAAATTCTCCATTTCTCTGACGGATGATTAGATAGAAGAAGCAAAACATTGTAGCAAGGAGGAGGGGGAGAGATGTAAATTACAATCGAAATGTAACACAGTTCCAGGGTTAATACGGTATACAGAAATGGCAAATTACCTGTTCCATTGTGGCATATATTCCATAATGAACTTCCTTTCTTGATATGCTTTTAAGGCAGAGAAGAAGCATTGAACCTATAAGCACATAGGAAGATAGAGAGAATGGAATTAAGTTAGCACCATACTGAAATATCTACACATATGGCACTACGAAGCCTGATCTGAGAATGAAATGTACCTTCTCAATAGCAGATGTTAGCTTGAAAGTTAAATACAATCCGTTGTCAGTGATGAAAAAAGACTCCCATAATCCTTGTTTAAGAAAAAACGGTACCAAACTGATGTAGGCAACAAGGCACGATACAACAGCAATGATATTCGACCAGAGTAACATTGGCCCTTAATAAATAATTTAGCAGCTTTCAGTTAGTTGCAGAGGCAAAATATAGTTAAAAAA